ATATCCATGTTTTTAATGCTAATCATTTTGTACATTGTGCTTTTAGAGTTGTACTATATAGTTTTTTAGACAAAAATACCCCTACCGTTATAACTTCCGTTATCTTTTCCATTATTGTTACTATGCACATGCATCCGTCATATATTTTCTTAAGGTTTAAGAATTGGGGTGATGGAAATCCTCACAGACCTGCTGAAGATCTTGCATTTGCTGTTGCTCATTTTTTTGAGTATGGTGAATCTCTACAAAACTACTATATGGTACAATATTGTGCTTTATTGCGCTATTCTGATTTTTTTGATTTTAAGATTTAACCTATTTTTTCATCCTTAGTATCATGGTGGAACAAACTTTAGGAGAATATCAGGCTGACCATACATTGTCACAACATATGACTACAATGCTCCCCTCGATGAATATGGTAAAGTTTTAATATTAATTACTTAGCCTTTAATTTAATCTGATGATGATCTTATTCTGATCTATTGATACTAATGAAATTGTGGAAATGGTTTAGGCAATGTGAACCAACCAAAGTGGGGGCATCTCAAGGAACTCCATAACCTCTTATATTCTTTGGAGGATGTACTTTTGTATGACAATGCAACCAATACTAACTATGGAAGGATGATGTCTATAAGTGTTATAATTCATTATATTTGTTAATTCTTTAATTCTAATTTAATTTTGTTCAAATTTCATGAATCTAATAACATCATTCTATATTTTTCAGTCGACAGCATACGAGTACAAGGGAAAATAAGTGTGTTTCTTAGGAAATGCAAATGACAAAGATGACATATCCATCACCTTTGAAGGCAAGAATTATACCACTCCTGCATGGTCTGTCACAATTCTCCCTGACTGCAAAACCGATGTATATAATACAGCTCGGGTGAGTAACTTAATTATAAAGACATCAATCTACTACAATTAGGGACGGAGCCATGATTGAATAGTACGGGGGGCCAACTGCGGTTGAAGTACTAAATCAAATACATTGATACCTAGTTAACATATTTCAAAATAATCATTACATTACAAATTTAATAAAGTTTATAATAAATAATTTATAATTGAATCTATATTAAATTATTTTGCAATATGCTTTTCAATGCAATTGCTTTGTACGGTTGAAAGAATGAAAACATTCAGGCATACTTTAAAAGACTATTGATTATTTCTTGAAATATCCTCTTCACAACATAACATAATAGCAATTGTTTTCTCAAATACATATACTACACAATTGTTACATTATTATGCATTTTAAATTAAATACAAAATTTGTCACATAACTACAAATTTACATAATTAACCAAACAAATGCACCTTGATATACATTATTTAGAATCAAACAAAACAACTATTTAAGATAAACAATATAATACGAAACAAATTAACTATAAAAGTAGTTAGAAAAAAATAAAAATAAAAAACAAAAACAAAAATGCATTGTAAATATGCATAGAGAGAGAAACTAGTAAGTAGGTTAAATGGAGTTTAATTTGAATGTGAGTCAACAGTATAAGGAAGATATAATTTGAAATGGTAGAGAACTGGAGAAGTTGAGAAGATGAAGAAGTTTATAACTTAACCTATAAAAGTAATTTAAGTGGAGTGGGGCCAAATATTTTGAAGGAACAACAAAATTTTTAAATTCTATATAATATTTTTTAAAAAAATATAATACATATATAGTATTAAAAATATTGGGGTGGGGGAGGGTGGGCCAAGGCCCCCCAAGGCATTAACTTGCCTCCGCCCCTGACTACAATATTCATGAATGTAACTAATAATTTTAATATATTTTATTGACTTTTATTTATTTATTTATTTATTTATTTATTTATTTTTGTTGTAGGTTAATGTTCAAACAACTGTGATGGTGAAGAAGTTGAGTGAAGGGGCATTGAAATGGTCATATAGACCTGAAACTGTTATGCATCTCAAGTATGGTGACAAGGATCAAAGCTCAGTATTGATATTTGTAGATATTATATATTGGATTATTATAATAAATAAATTTAATTTTATATAGATTTTAATTAGTAGGGATTTGTTAGTTATATTAAACAATATAAATATTGGGCATATGTTTTTGTGCATCGTGCAGAGAAAAGACTAGTTATAGAATTATATGTTCATAATTTTTGAACTATATATTCATAATTATGAATAGTTTTGAAACTGTGTCCATCTTGCAAGGTGGACACAATTCCAGAGCATAATTTGCCTATATATATATTATAATTGAAAATGATTAAATAATCAGAGACTACAATGTAATAGAGCTAGTAGCATTCAAAAAAAAAATAATCAGAGACTCAAAATTATTATATTATAAAAGGGACCAAGCCAATTAAAAGCCTAAACCACATATTATCAATCGTTATACCCTACACCACGGCGTACATAGCACTGGGCGCCGCGCGCCTCCCAAAACGACGTCGTTTTGGGGTCGTTTTGGGAGGCGCGGTAAGAAGTTGCTGGGATTATGTGTATTTGTTCACACAGTTATCTGTATTTGTTCATACAGTTATGTGTATTGGTTCATACAGTTATGTACATTTTTTATACAATTATGTACATTCTTTTTATACAATTATGTACATCCGAATCAGAAAATTTGTGTGTATTATGTTAATAGTTGATGTGTATTATGTTAAAAGTTTATGTTTATTATGTATTATGTTAGATTATGTGTATTATCTTTTAAAAAGAGTATGTATATTTTGTTATATAATTATGTACATTCATGTATAAAATTATGTGTATTCTAGTATAACATTATGTACATTCTTGAATAGCGGGTTTTTTTTTTTAAAAGAAAAAACTACTGCCATTCACTGGGGCGGGAAGTTTCAAAAAAAAAAAAATTAAAACGACATCGTTTTGCATCTAGGCGCATAGTGCAACGCGCGCCGTAGTGTAGGATATAAATTGCCACATATTATTAACTTTAGACTGCCAAAAAAAAAAAAAAATTTAAAACTAAACCCAAAACAAATAAAAGGCCCAAAATACACATTTAAAAAAAAACTCCAGTTCGGGCCCAAAAGGCCCAAAATATTGGCTAGTATATGTAAATTATAGATGTTAATTTATCATTCTTATTTTATCTTTCCAAGCACATTTTTTATATAGCTATAATATTACTTTTTGTATGTGTTCTGATTCGCGGACACTGTTTTTCTTGAACCCCAAGAAAAATTGGGGCAAATTATTGTGTGGTGGTACACACAATGTTATGTGGACCATAATAAAAAGTATATTTTTAATATACTAAATGTACATTATTTTTGTACTGGATGTACATTATACAAAATAATATACATTCAGAACAAAAATAATGTACATCCTCTGAATATAATGTACTTATTTGTGTACTGAATGTACATTATTTTTGTATTGAATATACATTATTTTACAGTAGATAAAATATGGTCCATACAACTTGTGTGGACCTAATGATTGAAAAATTGGCACACAGCAGACTGAAATTCTAACAACGGCGGCCGCGGCGTCACTAAGGCTCCGCTTGAAAAGCACGACAACGATTTCTGGAAAACGTTTTTCTGGAAAATGAGTTATTTTTTAGAAAATATTCTTCTTTCCAGTGTTTGGCTGCACAATGAAAAATTGTCATTTTTGTATTTGGTTCATTTTCTAGAAAATGAACAGAATTGTATACTTCATTTTCCAATTCAAATGAGTCTACTTTGATAATCAATTTTTCATTCACACAGTATCCATTTTGAACGTATAATATATTATAAATTTCACGGGTTAGGGTCATATGAAAAAAAAAAAAAAAAAGGCCCGCGAAATAGCGGGCTTAACGGGTCTAACCCACTAAGACCCGCAGCCTAGGCCCTAATAGAAATTGTTGACTTCGAATGAATTGTCAAATGTTAGGTGCAAAAACCGTTTCCCAATTCTAGAAGATATCATGATCTATAATCCAAATGTGATTAGGATTAATAACCTATTCACACACAAACTAAGGTTCTTGATCCTATAAAAGTAGCCACTCTCAATCACAAGAGCTCAAGCTTTCAAGATCTAATTGTGAGGTACGAGAGTCATTGAGAAGAGATACCCAAATCCCCTTGAAAAGTAGTACATGTGTTTAGGTCACAATAGTCCGATAGGAAAGATCATTCTATTGTCTAATCTCTGGTTCGAAACAGTGTACTTTAAATATTAAGCTTTTAGTAGATTTAGGCAAATTCTCAACTTGAGAAGTGCCTCGCAGATTAGGGTTGTTTGCCCGAACTGCGTTATAAATTGTTTGTGTCACAACGTCAGTTTCAACATTACTGTGTGATGCTCTTATATATATATATATATATATATATATATATATATATATATATATATATATATATATATATATATATATATATATATATATATATATATATATACATACATACATACATACATACATACATACATACATACATATAGGTGTGGTCATGTGGTCAATTATAGGCCATTAGATTAGATAGATCCAATGAATCATATTAATCAAGATTTTTCTAGTATTTTCGCGCACATTCTCCTACCCAGCGAACTGCAAGGGTAAACTCGTCATAAACACCGGAATATTAATCAAGATTTTGTTGTGTATTTTATTACACTATTGGTGCATGTTGTCAACACTGTTGGTGTATTCTGGAACCCGGCCGCTATAAATGGCCATTGTAATTACCATAACATGGGAATACACCATTGGTGTGCTTCACTGTGGTGTGTTTTATTACTCTATTGGTGTATGTTGTCAACACTGTTGGTGTATTCTGGAACCCGCCCGCTATAAATGGCCACTGTAATTACCATAACACCCCCACTTACCAAAACGCGCGAAAATCCTCAGAAATATCACTGCCGTTAGATTGAACTGATTCAACGACACAGATACGACCACACGACCACACCTAATGACATGACCACCAGCCCTACTTCGCACAAATTTCTCCTACTGAAAAGCCAGAATGCAGATATACATCTTGGCACAAGGAGAAGGTGTCTGGAACGCTATAGAAAACGAATGGAAAACTCCAGTTGATGATAAAGGAAATAGAAAACCTAAAATTGACTGGAGTGATGAAGAAAAAACAGAATATGACTTCAACTCGAAGGCAATTAATGCAATCTATGGAGCTGTGAGCTAAGATACTTTCAAACTGATTGCCACCACTGCATGGAGTATTTTATGTGATCATCATGAAGGGAACACATCTGTAAGACACTCCAAATTACAGATGATACAGACAAAGTTTGAAAATTTGAAAATGGAAGAAGAAGAAAATATCACACAATTTAACGCCAGAGTTTTAAGCATCTCTGGAGACGCATTCAATCTAGGCGAACCTATACCCGAACATAGGATCGTAAAAAAGATACTACGTTCCCTACCTGGAAGATTCCTGATAAAAGTTACAGCAATTCAAGAGAAAAAAGATTTGAATACCTACAAACTTAGTGATCTAATGGGAAACCTTCAAACCTATGAGCTTGAGATGTTACAGAACCAGAAAAATAATGGCAAAGGAATAACATTACAATCTAAACAAGAAGAGAGCTCAGAAACTGATACTGAAACCATGGAACAGTCAATCGCGCTATTGACAAAGAATTTCAACCGAGTTCTCAAAAAATTCAACAAATTCAGAAATAAAAACTTCTCAAATGGCCAAGGAAATTCCACAGTCAATCAAAAATCATCAGGTACAAAAAGAAAGGACAGTTCAAATACAGAAGGAATACAATGCTACGAGTGCAAAGGGTTTGGACACATCCAATTAGAATGTGCCACATACCTTAAAAGAAAGAACAAGACATACATAACAACATTAAGTGATGACTCAGACAGTGAAGAAGACATCAACACCTACTTCGTAGCTTTCACCGCAAACCATGAAAATAAAAACGGCGAGGATATACAAGAATTATTAGAGGCATATACTCAACTAAATGCCAAATGGGAACAAATCATCAAAGTAAATCTAGAACTCATGGAAGAAAATCAGTTTCTAAAAGATGAGAAAGATATGGGAGAAAAATGATACAAAAAAGCTCAAAGTGAACTACTAGATTTCAAAAACAGAGAAGCTAAACTGCTATAAGAAATCAAAGTGCTTACCGAAAGACCTAGATCTCCAATCTCAGTCTCCAATGAAAGCCACCAAACTGAAATACACGAAGTGTCGAAACATCACTTCCAACATTGAAGAAGGATAAGATGTTATTGTTGTCATAAATTAGGACACATTAAAGCACACTGCTACAAAAGACAGAATGATCTTTATTACAAGCAAAACAACAGAGATTGGTCATCACAAAACAGAAATAATAACAAGAAAATCTGGGTAAGAAAAGACCAAAATGTCGCATATACCTCCAAGACAAGCAAAGGACAAGACATATGGTATTTTGATAGCGGATGCTCAAGGCATATGACTGGAAACCCAGAAAATCTTGAAAACATTCAGTAAAAAAATGAAGGGTATGTTACCTTTGGAGATGGAGGAAAAGGAAAGATTATTGCAAGCGGGGTTTTGAATGTACATGGGCTACCTAGATTACCAAAAGTCTTCTTAGTACAAGGACTAAAAGCAAACTTGATTAGTATAAGCCAGCTATGTGAAGATGAACTTAAAGTGGAATTTTCAAAAGATAGCTGCAATGTTCTCAACCAAAATCACGAATGTGTTATGATCGGGAAAAAGTCCACAAATAAATGTTACACATGGGACGGTGATTTAACCTGCTTACAAACAACCGTCAATCAAACACAATTGTGGCACCAACGGATGTGGCACATAAACTTCCATGACATGAAAAAGTGGTTAAAAAGGGGAGCCTACCGAGGAGTTCCAACACTCGACATAGATGAAAACAAAAAATGTGATGCATGCCTTGAAAACAAAATCACATGAACAGTTCACAAGAAGACCTTGGGAATACACACTTCCAGAAATCTAGAGTTACTCCACATAGATTTATTTGGACCCACTCAAACAGAAAACATGGGAGGAAAGAGATATGTCTATGTGACTGTTGATGATTATTCACGATTTACATGGGTAAACTTCCTTAGAGAAAAATCTGAAGCGTTCACAACTTTCAAAACTCTCATCATCAAAATCCAGAATGAAAAAGATGGAAAAATAAGGAAAATCATTTGGTTAAGAAGTGATCGTGGTAGAGAATTCGAGAATTCAAAATTCAAAGACTACTACATAGAGAATGCGATTCATCATGAATTCTTCGCTCCAAAAACACCCCAACAGAATGGAGTAGTCGAACGGAAGAATCAAACTATCCAAGAAATGGCAAGGGTTCTCCTAAGCCACAAAAGATTACCATCAAAATTCTGGGCTGAAGCAGTAAACACCGCATGTTACTTGATAAACCGAGTATTCATACGAAAAGAAACCAATATGACGCCCTACCAAAATCTGGAAGGGAAAGACATTAAATCTAAAACGTACACATGTTTTTGGCAGCAAATATTATATATTAAAAGATAGAGAACCATTGGGAAAGTTTGACATCAAATGAGATGAAGGAATATTTCTAGGATACTCCTCAAATAGCAGGGCCTATCGAGTGTTCAACCTAAGAATAGACAGTGTTATGGAATTCATAAATGTAGTCATCAATGACACTTCACCAGAAGATCCCACCACGACGATGAAGAATCAACTGTTGTCGAAACAACAGTTCCAACACCACTGGAACAGAAATCTGAAACAGAATCATCAGAAAAAGAGGAAACAAAAATCATTGAAGAAATTGAGGAAACTCACACTACTGATGACACAAGGACACAGAAAAATCATCCAGTAGAAAATATTATAGGAAGACTAAATGAACGGATCATAACTAGAGGAAAGAAACGAGATTATCAAAAAATGGAGGAAGGAGACTATTGCTACACTTCCAAAATAGAACCCAAAAACATTACTGAAGCCTTAAAAGATGAATTTTGGGTAGAAGCTATGCAAGAAGAATTACAACAGTTTGAAACAAACAACGTCTGGGAGTTAGTCCCAAAACCAGAAAAAGCCAACATCATCGGAACAAAATGGATCTACAAGAACAAAATAGATGATCAAGGAAACATAACAAGAAACAAAGCCAGACTAGTAACACAAGGATACACACAAATTGAAGGGACAGATTTTGAGGAAACATTTGCTCCAGTAGCTATAATTGAATCAATTCGGCTCCTCATAGCAGTAGCTTGCGTACTCAAGATAAAACTCTATCAAATGGACGTAAAAACAGCATTCTTAAATGGCAATTTAAAAGAAGAAGTCTATGTTGCTCAACCAAAGGGGTTTGAGGATCCTTACTTTCCACAAAAAGTTTTTAAACTAAACAAAGCTCTATATGGGCTAAAACAAGCACCACGGGCCTGGTATGAACGACTCACCGAATTTCTACTCAAAAAGGGCTATGAAAGAGGAAGTGTGAACAAAACCTTATTTGTTAAACACTATGGACAAGACATAGTCATTGCTCAAATCTATGTCGATGACATAGTCTTTGGGTCAACACTCGAACACCACAAAAACCAGTTCATCACTAACATGGAAGGAGAATTTGAGATGAGCATGGTTGGTGAACTACACTACTTCCTAGGTCTACAAATCAAACAACAAGATAATGGAATCTTTATATCACAAAGCAAATATGCAAAGAACCTAGTTAAAAGATTCGGACTAGAAGAAAGCAAAGTTGTCAGAACACCAGTTCCGAACACCAGTTCCAACAACAGAAAGAATATCAAAAGATTCAAAAGGAAGACATGTTGAGCAAACCCTATATCGAAGCATGATAGGAAGACTACTATATCTAACTGCAAGTAGGCTAGATCTAAGCTTTGGAGTAGGAATCTGTGCTAGATATCAAGCCAATCCTACTGAGCAACACCTAAAGGCAGTAAAGAGAATCATTAAATATGTCAAAGGAACCTCTGACTTAGGAATATGGTATTCCTTCGATACAAATCATTACTTATCAGCTTATTGCGATGCTGATTGGGCAGGAAACATAGATGACAGAAAAAGCACCTCAGGAGGATGTTTTTTCCTAGGAACAAATCTAGTATCTTGGATAAGCAAAAAACAGAGTTCTATATCCTTGTCCACAGCTGAGGCTGAATACATTGCAGCTGGAAGCTGTTGCACTCAACTACTTTGGATGAAACAGATGCTAGAAGACTATGGATTACATCAAACAACTATGACTATTCATTGTGATAACAAAAGTGCAATAGATATCTCAAAGAACCCAGTACAACACTCAAGAACAAAACATATTGATATCCGGCATCACTTTATAAGAGAGCTAGTAGAAGATGAAATCATCAATCTCACACACATCAATACAGAAAATCAACTTGTAGATATTCTAACAAAGGCACTTGATGCAAATAGATATGCAAAATTAAGAGCCGAAATAGGACTGTGTATTTTATGAACAAAAAGAAAATGCTCAGGCCAGTTCTATAAAGCAAATATATATATATATATATATATATATATATATATATATATATATATATATATATAGGCATGATCCATATACCGTGAAATCAAAAAAAGGGGCCCATAACCCAGCTATCAATGAAAGCCCAAAACTCGGTCCACTCCTGAAAATCCCTAAATTAAAAACCATGGTGGTCATCCGCCTAAGACTATTCAGCCACGATCATCTCTCACACTCCACGACAGAGAAGCAATGGTGAAAACAAGAAATCAAAGGAAAGGAAAGATACCTCGGAGAGGAACCACACCACAGTACGCCGGCACCGGAGTTTCATCGAATCCGGTATGCATCGAAGAAGAAGATCCCACCACCATCATCATTGACCCGGTCCCCATCTCACAAGTTCCATTCGAAGAGATTCAAGAACATCAAAACCCTAACCCAGGTAATCTTACAGTTGAATTACATGGAGATTTTTCAATTTGCCTACCCACTGTAAATGAAATTGGGGACAATACTGATTGTGCCAAGAAGAGGAAGAACACCCTATAACAGGAGTTGTTGAACCTTCATCTCCACCTCCTCTGTCCGACAGAGAACAGAGAAAAAGAAGAAGGTCTGACCCCTACGAAGGGGCAGATCCTAGAGCAAAAAAGCCCAGCGATTTCCCAATCTCTGCTAGACCCCCTCGAAGAATTCCTAATATACCTCCCCCAAGGCAGAGTAATTCCAAGAAACAAAAAGAAAAAATTACAGAAGAAGATCAAGATTGGGTTCCCGAAGATGCAAGAGAAGTCTCTGATTGTGAAAAAGTTCATTCAGAAAAGAAGAAAAAGAGATTGAGTGTTAAAGAAAAAGGAAAACAAAAAGTTGTTAGTGATGCTGACCTGTCAAAACTGCCAAAGCCTTATAGTCCAAAATTTCTGACTATAGAAAATTCCAAAGAATGGAATAAACTTGTGGAGAAAAACATCATCAGCCAGAAACTCCTTGTACTGGACAGGTTGGAACAAAAGACCAACTTCTGGGATCAGTCACCAATATTTACCCCTATGAGGAACAAGCAGTCAAAGAATTCTATAGCAACCTTACCAAAAATACCACCACACCCAACAACCCCATGTTTGGAAAGGTTTATATAAGAGGAAAGTTCTATGAGTTCAACCCTGAAATCATCAATGAATACCTAGGGACAACTACAGGAGAACAAGATGTTCAACTAGGAAGTGAGCAGGTTGCCCAAGAACTTACAGCTGGAAATGTAAGTTTTGATAAAAACAAAATCAAGGCCGCATCTTTAACAAGCAAGTATGCCATACTACAAAAATTGCCCTTGTCAATTGGATGCCATCTCTACATGAATCAACAGTTAAGTGGAGCCTAGCAGAACTGTTATACAAAATAGGGAAAGGAATCAAAATCAATCTTGGAGTCATTATTCACACGCAGATTACAAACTTTGCAGAGAACAGTGAGTCAAAAGCCCTCCTAATCTTTCCAAATCTGATCTACTCTATCCTAACCAAACAAGGGCTAAAGTCACATGGGACAAAAGTACAAGTCAAGACCTTGAACACAACCATGAAACTTAAAAAGGGATCACACCAGAATGATCTCAAGGCCTCAGTCCCAACAGATAATCCAATTGACCAGTAAACCTTAATCAAATACTTTGAGAAAAGGTTGAATGAATTGGATGATTCAGAAAAACAAGTGTTAAGAAAACACATGGAAATCAAGGAAGAAAGAGCAGAAGTTCTACAATGGCTGAAAGCCCTAAAAACAGAAAATAAAGAAACAAGTGGTGAAAATGAAGTTGAAGAAGGTCAAGCAGATGAAGAAGAAGATGGTCAAGAAGATGAAGAAGAAAGTGGTGAAAATGAAGAAGGAAGTGGTGAAAACTCTACCTGAACATCTTTAAACATTTAGCAAAAAAGGGTGAGAAAGGCAACCAAAAGATCTGGATGGCAATCAGAAGACCTGGATGAAAAAAAAATGGCAACCAGAAGATCTGGATTATGGATAATCTGGACTTAAAAATTTTAATTTTTTTTGACTGTTTTTGAATACTTGGAGTATCCAGACTGTTTGACAGTCTCCTTGTTTCCTATACTATGCAGTGGTCCCAACAAATGTGTAGCCATCCTTGAATATTTTTTTTGTCATCATGTTACTGCATTATGCTATAGGATCTTCCTGCTTTTTGTAAAAGCAAAATCAGAGATTAAATCAAGGGGAAGACATCTCAACAAAAGGAAGAAGGCCAGTACATTCTTCTTATTATTAATTATTAAACAGAACAACCAAACTAAGATCAAACTAAGGGGGAGACAAGCCAAGAATCAAGCCTCTCTAAAGATCAAGGTTTTTGCAAAAGTTTGACAAAGGGGGAGATTGTTGACTTCGAATGAATTGTCAAATGTTAGGTGCAAAAACCGTTTCCCAATTCTAGAAGATATCATGATCTATAATCCAAATGTGATTAGGATTAATAACCTATTCACACACAAACTAAGGTTCTTGATCCTATAAACGTAGCCACTCTCAATCACAAGAGCTCAAGCTTTCAAGATCTAATTGTGAGGTACGAGAGTCATTGAGAAGAGATACCCAAATCCCCTTGAAAAGTAGTACATGTGTTTAGGTCACAATAGTCCAATAGGAAAGATCATTCTATTGTGTAATCTCCGGTTCCAAACAGTGTACTTTAAATATTAAGCTTTTAGTGGATTTAGGCAAATTCTCAACTTGAGAAGTGCCTCGCAGATTAGGATTTTTTGCCCGAATTGCGTTATAAAATGTTTGTGTCACAACGTCAGTTTCAACATTACTGTGTGCTGCTCTTATATATATATATATATATATATATATATATATATATATATATATATATATATATATGTTCAAATGCAATTGGTGCATCTAGGTGTGGTTGTGCGGTGAGAGGAGAGTCATTGATTTTGATTAAATCAACGTCCAGGATTACTAAAATTTAAAAAAAAATACGGGGACAATTTTGTAATTTTTGCATCTAGGTCAAATTTAAGGTGTGTGGTTTTTGTGCTTAAGATGCGTGAGTTTTGTGCCTAAGGTGCGTGTGTTTTGTGCTTAAGGTGCGTGAGTTTTGTGCTTAAGGTGCGTGAGTTGTGTACTTCAACTTAAGGTGCGTGAATTGTGTACTTAATGTGAGTAGTTGTTGAAACTTAAGGTGCGTGAGTTTTGTGCTTAAGGTGCGGGGGTTTTGTGCTTAAGATGCGTGGATTTTGTGCTTAAGGCGCGTGACTTTTGTGCTTAAAGTGCGTGAGTTTTGTGCTTAATGTGAGTAGGTGTTGAAACTTAAGGTGCATGAGTTGCCTTCTTAAGGTGCATTGTTTTCCTTCTTAAGGTGTGTGATTTGTATGTTTAAGGTGCGTCAATTGTGTGAAACTTAAGGTGAACCATTTTAAGACTTTAGGTGCGTGGTTTGTGTTGTTAAGGTGCTTTGTTGTGTGCTTAAGGTGCGTGGTTTGTGTTCTTAAGAGGTCGTGTGGTTTGTATTGTTAAGGCGTTTTGTTTGTGTGCTTAAGGTGCGTGGTTTGTGTACTTAAGGTGCACCATTTTAATGCTTAAGGTACGTCCTTCGCACAACTGCACAGTAACCCTTCCCCACACCTGAACCCTTCCCTATACTCAGCTGTGACTTAGGGAGCTCACCATGGACCGCTCAGTTTGACAGCTGCGTCCAAAAGGACTGCTAACCGAACGGTGACGCGTATCCAAAATATGCCTTGGCAAGGAGTAACTAGTCGGAAGATGACTTGACTTTTAAAGACGGAGAGCTGGTCGGAGAATATTTTTGAGATACTTTCCTATGACATTGACTTCGCAAAATCTTAAAAAAGTGGGGGACTGGATGATGAATGGTAGATTGGGCCTGGGCCACATGGACCAGCCCAAGAAAATAAAATAGATCAAGGAAGTCCAAGAATAATACACAGTACGGAGCAACTTAGGAATTTAATAAGGATTGAGCTTATTATTCTTAATGTAATAAAGATTAGAGTTTATTACTCCAAATATGAGGTAGTCTAGATTCTTATTCCTAATTTCCTAGTAGCAAAGGCCTAAAATATGTATATATAGACCCCCATACATGGGAAAATGGGAAGCAATTTTCATTATTCACAAGCAATTCTCAATAATACAAATTGCCGACATTCTCTCCATATATTCTCTCCATGTATTCTCATTTTATTTTCCTATATTCTAATTATTTTAGCGGTAGTGTTAGCCGCCGTTGACTGCTCAAAACTGATAAAATCAACAATGAAGATTGCTCTGAGTCAATCTCTTACAAGTTAGCAATGTCTTTGAAACAAAGTGGAGTAAGCTATGGCACATTGATAGATAGATATATAAACATTAAACAACTGCAAAGAGTAAAGTTAGTTTTTAATTTCTTTGCTCAAGAAAACTGTAAAGTTAATTAGTCTCTTCTCATCAACTCATGTGTGACATACATACGGTACATAATGGAAAACTGTCCCCCTTCATAGCAATGCCTGAAAAGACTTGTAAACACATACACTGATACAATTAGAATGTATAGGTATCCTGTTATGTAAATTCTTCCATTCAAAGATTCCACAGATCAGAATACAATTACCAAATAAAAACAACCTAGTATATATGGATCATGTAATGCAACAAAGGCAAAAAACATGGATTTTCATTCTTATTTTACAGAACCAAAGCACCCAACTAAGATTCACATACATTGAAAAGCAAGCTACCAAGTCCCACATCTTCTAGTTAAGCCACTACATATATAGTCTTTCTTCATCTTCCATTGCACTTGGATTTATTGTCACCGTACAAACGGAAGAGACTGAAAGCCGAGATACCACAGAGAATTATCATGCTAATGCAAACAATGAGTGAACTTGCGATGCCTTCCCCGACTTGGTTGCAGAACTTACCGTACATGTTACATATCCTCATCCATTGCAGTTCGGACTGCCCTATCTTCGCATACACAGCAGACTGTGCCGCAGCTGCTACAGCCCCCAAACTCAAGTACGCCATCAGCTGTGCACGCAAAGATTAGATTTTAACTGTTAGTAGATGAGTAAAGTAGTAAACAAAGTGTGGTTAAGCTTAACAGAAAAGGCAACAATTTCTAATTAAATGGCATATGATTGCTGATCTCCTGAGTTTGGTTGGCATCAGAACTGGTACCATAAGTAAAGAAAAGAGAAAAAACCCAAAAAAAACAAAAAAGGTTCTTGAATTTCCTCATTTAGAATTCAATTAAAGGCCTTATGGTTGGACCACACAGTGCGTTTATGATTGGTTGGTCTGCACTCCAGCTGCTTCTTCAGATTTGGCGTGTAGTACTTATGAGAGACCTGTTTTTTGTTTAGAGTAATTCTCCACGTCCCTTCCTTGTATAGGAAAACTCTCGCTTGATTAGTTGGCTGTCTAAATCACGAGACCCCCTGATTTGCCGACGAGCTAATTAGGGAGAGCCACTTTAGGATGGACAATTGATTTCGTCTAAGGGCTTCCTATCACTTTCCTTTTATTTATGAGGGTCACTATTACTCTAGACAGTTGAGCTAAGACAACTTAGAACTCAAAACTCAGTCAAGATTTCAGAGAACCAATTATATAACTGTCGTAAAACTACAGGTTAAACTAGGCAACAAATTTGGGGGATGTATTTATGTTAGAGAACATATTCCCCTTTCAGAACCATCAACTCACAAAGCAAACACCAATATGGCATAGTAATCAAATTGAACAAACAAACACTTCATCTCTATTCAACCATATATGCACTTTGTGTAATAGAACAAATGGATTTGGTATCACCAGAGCTTCATACAAATTGTTTGCACTCAAGAACCAAAGGCTCTCAAATGCCTTGTGAGAAAAAAATAGGATTTGCAAACCTCTTCTAAGGGAAGAGAAATTACATCCTCCTAAATCTTGTACTTTTCCCATTCTACTACCCAAGTCCTCACTGCCATAGAGTTTATTCAAGAAAATCCAATCCCATCTCACTGAAAATCATATATTTATGTAACAATGGTATAAAAATTTCACAACCCTTTTTTCCCTTTTCATCTAAAAGCTATATATATGGAAAGAAACAGATATAAACAACTAAGATGCCTAAAATAAACCAACTTTATATGCCGAAACAGAAAATTTTTCTCACCTGATCACCAGAAAAGATAGCCCAAGCCAGGGGTTTGTTGAAGAGAACACTTCCTCTAATCATACTCACTGAGCACCTCACAAGCTGAACCAGTGAGTAGGCAGCAGCTAATCCATTGGCTATCACCAAAAACCTGAAATCCAAAAAGTATTTGACTGTAAAAAAAATGAAACCCCAGCAGAAATTATATATTAGTGAGAATTAAGGGCTTACACTAGGGCTTTCATGTCTGTAAATTTAGCTTTCTTCCGAATGGAGAAGATCTCTCTAACCTGACTATCTGTCCCTATAAGAACAGCACCCACAATCGCTAACCCACAAATCACACACCTAAAAATCAGCTCTGCAAGTCTTACTCTCTTGTCAACCACCTTCAGGTTGCTGCCATGGTAGACTGGAACATTTCCAGGGCTCACTCCAACACCCAAGTAGCTCATGGTCACCAATATGCTCCTCAAACCCACACCGGAAACCCCACAAACTAAAGAAAGCTCCTCAACCCCACAAACTATGGCAAATGACAAAACGAGTAAATGGGTATTAGTCCTCAGAAAAGAACACACAGGAATTCTCAACCATCTAGGCTCCCAGCACTTATTATATAGGATAAATACTCACCTACCATGGTTACTTTTTTCTTTTTTTACTTCTTCACATTTCTTATGACATACGAAGCTTTTCATTACGGAATTTAATTTTAAAATTTATGAGATTTACATTTCAATTACTTTGTATCTATTTTCATTTTCCGATCCCATTTACAGCATTTTTTAAAATTTAATCCCTTAATTAATAGTCCTTGACGAGAGATACATAAAATTTTAAAAGAGTCACAAAAAAGTCTAAAAATTGTGAGGAGTTATAGAGCTGGATTACAAGTACAATAATCCAAATTTCAACCTAACTTGCAAATGCATCTCACTTTAAAAGTAGGTCTTACATTCATCTCATCAAATTTAAAATTACTTTACTATTTCCTCTATATTCCTGCAATATTTTCTCACTTTAAAAAACGATCTCACCTACACATCATAATTATAAATTTATATATTTTTCATTATATAAATATAAATAATATTGTTGGTTTTACGGCCTATGAGTAGCCGTTCGGCGGGCTAACACTACCGTAAAATACTACGGTTTGAATGAACGAGAGTGAATAAAGAGCTCTTTCTTAGTCAAAGAGTCCGACCTTTTCCACGGTGACCCCGTGGGGGTATTTATAAAAAGAGATGAATTTTCTAAAGGAATGTAGGGCAAAAAGATAGAACTGAACCAGCTATGAAATCTACCATAATTAATGCAACAATTACTAAAACTGGAAAAAGAAGTTATTTGCTAGATAAGGAAAATAATCTCCTCTGAATCCGCCACTAGCGGCTTCTAGACGTGCACTCGGTCGGGGACGCACTAACTGCCTAACAAGGTAGCCTGACTAGGAAGGCTGAGGCACTCAGGCAAGGACGATCCAACAGCTAAGCTTGGGGGCCCATCCAGGCCCTCCGAGGGAACTTAGCCAGGGACACGCCGACTACTGAGCCTGGTCGCCCATCCAGGTCCTACGAGGGAAACCAGTCGAGGACACGCCAACTACTGGGCCCGTTTTCTTGCCTGAACCAGCCAGTTCCTGACCGGATACTCACTCGTCCACTGATCGGGTCTCCCGGTTGCTTCGCGTGACAAGCGAGAACCACGAGCGAAACCCTTTCTCTTGAATCACCAAGTGTTATAACATACTCAGTCCTGAGTACCCTTTCACACCCTCCAGACTCGGTGCCTGATTTGGGGTATCTATCACAAGTCTCTCACTTTTTTGGGTCTAGCCGGGCGATGACTCAAAAAAGTAGAAAAAATAACTAAGGTTGTATCGGAGAGGCCTGACTGCCTTGATACCGCTTCCTTCGAGTCATCCTGGTGCTTAGTCGGGAGCCCGCTCTCCTGCCGACTGATCCCGCTTTTACCCCAACTGGTCCTGCGAAGTGGTATGGTCGCTGATATGTAATTATGATAACTCCTCGAATCTCGCCAATTACAGTCTCGAGGTGCACTTTCCCGTAACTATCTTGTCAGACGTTACGTCCGTTCCCCAACCATTCGATTGTGGACACGTGGCGCAATCTGGCCAGCTGACCAATCTATAAATACTCATGGCTTTCCCTCCTCCTTCTTCCGCGTTCTTCATTTTCCTCCCCAAATCTCCAGTGCACACCTTCCTCCACTACCCCATATCTCTCCCTCTCCGGCGGTTGCCGTTCTTGTTTCTCCGAGTCAGTTCCATCATCTCCTCTGGCCGTCGATTTTTTTTAAGGTCAGCCCTCTCTTTCTTTATTCTTTCCCTTATTTCCCTTCCGTTTTTACTATATCCTCTTCTAAACCTTCGGTCTTCCTCCGCCGCCGGTGACCATCAAGGTCAGACTTTGAACCCTTCGGCCACTAACTCCTTGTCGGCAGTAGCCCATGGTCCTTCGTCAATAGCCCCGGTGGAACCCCCCATCGACCGGGAGTCGGGTTACTTCGACAACCTGGACTGGCCAGTGGGCCGTCGCTCGACCTTGCGCGAGTTCGACTTTTTGCATGCCCGCCGGCTGCTGGGTACGCTGGCCGCGGCTCGCCGCCCCGGTAACTAGTTGGTGACCGATCCCCCAAAAGGCGGGTATGTGGGGATCTATTACCAGTCGGTCTAGTGCGGCTTCCAGATACCCTTCTCCCCATTCGTCTCTCTCCTGCTCCAATATTATGGCATCGTGCCCCACCATTTAGTACCTAACTCCTCTAGGCCACCTTGCTCACGTTCCACCAGCTCTTCCGTCTGATCGTGGTTGGCGTGGTCACCCCGGGACACGTGCAAATATGTTCTCGAGCCGACCGTAAATTTTTGGAAAAACTGTTCTCCTCCACAAAGGTTGGAAGGAGGATTTCCTCTTTGTCCGCCCGGCCGACCACCTCCCAGCCTTTGACTTCCCAACGTCTTGGCAGTCGTCATATTGCCATCTTGATGGGAGGCCGACTTGCCCTGACGACTTGGTTGATCTGCTCCAACGGATCACCGGGGGCGAGCTCATCTCTGCTCAGCGATGGTCCCGACTGGTGGCCATGATGAGGGCTGGTCTGTTGCCAGACGGCGCTGCTAGGACTGGTTTGCTTTCTCCATACTAACTGACTGCGTGCTCACCCGAGCGTTTGAACTTAAGGTTTTCACTTTCCTCGCAGGGAACAACTATGACAACCCAAAATTTAATTTGCTAAATTCTATTTTACGAGATTCCAAAATAGCCATTTTTCATTCTTCAAAAATTTTATTTTGAAAACGATGTTTGAATTAATTATTTTGAATTACGTTTTTAAATAAATTCGACACCGAGATTTATTCTATTTCAAAAATCCTAAAATCTCGGGTAAATTGTGTACCAAAATTTTGACCCAAAAGTCAATCTGAGTGAAATCGGAAGAAATCTGAGAAACATGAACCAAGTGTTTATCTAGAAAACATTTTTGGAAAAATCTATTTTGACCCCAAACTATTTAAAGTCACATTCCTAGACTATGGTCCATGTTGTAAGATGGACCATGAGCTTTCCTGATATTTTGGAGAAATCA